CGAAGAGCTGAATGACAGCTGAAATCTAATGAAGAGCTGAATGACAGCTGAAATCTAATGAAGAGCTGAATGACAGCTGAAATCTAATGAAGAGCTGAATGACAGCTAAAATCTAATGAAGAGCTGAATGACAGCTAAAATCTAACGAAGAGTTGAATGACAGCTAAAATCTACTGAAGATGAGCCGTAAGAGCTAAAAGAATCAGAACTTTAGCTACAGGCATAAAACCAGCTAAACGATAAAGAGAGCAAACAAAAATCTAAAAGTAGAAATTTAACCAAAATATGCTAGATTTTAGCTGAATATAAGCTGAATATCACCTAAAAACTGAACATAGCAAAAAGCTAATTTTAAGGAGATGAACATTAGCTAAAAGAACCAGAACTTTAGCTAATAGATAAAATAATCAGAACTCAGTTTTAGCTAAAAGCTAAAAGAAGCAGACCATTAGCTACAAAGTATAGTGAACTTAACATCAGCTAAAAATTAAAAGAAGAATATTAGCTAAAAATTGAAAACAGCACTTTAGCTTAAACAAGCAGAACATTAGCTACAAGCTATAGTGAACCAAACATCAGCTAAAAGCTACAAGAAGAAAATTTTGAGCTGAAATCTTAAAGGAGCAAAACATAAGCTAAATAAAGCAGAATAATAGCTTAAAAATAAAAACAAATAAGCAGAATTACATGTAGGGAACATAATATCAGCTAAAAGTAGCAGAATTTTAGATAAAGCTAAAAATCTTATCATTAACTTTAAGTTAAAAAGCACAACTTTAGCTAATGGCTAAATAAGACATACTTTTTTCTAAAAAGCCAAAAGAAGCAGAACAATAGCTAAAAGCATAAGAAAACAAAAACAGATCCAGCAGCTGAAGCTGAGTAAAACTATATTTTAAGGAACAATAATGGTTCTTTTAGGGAAATAACTGTTAATCAAGTTAAAATAGTTTTTAAATTAAATTTACAAAAACCAAAAGTCTCATCAGCTAAATGAGCTGAATATTTTGATAAATGAGCAGCTAAAATACCACAAAACCTGCAGAATTATACAGTAAAAAAAGTGGAAACTTTTAAACAGAATAATGCTGACTCAGCGTTCAGACAATAAATTAACAACAGAATCTCTCACAAACTGATGAATCTGATCTCCTGCCACAAAACAGGAGCCGAACAAAGAGCCGAAGGTGCAACAGATCTCTGCAGCAGCTGAAGCCGAATAAGAACAGCTGCTTCAGCTGATCTTCAGATGGCAGCAAACATTCAGCTACTTAAACAAACAATAATTAAAGGTCTAATATCACCCGCCACTGTTCCAGTTTCAGAATAAAATCAACAAAAATTAAGAAATAAAAACCATTTTAGCTGGTTTTAGTCAAACCGTCCAGCTGTGTGCTGAAAAGACTTTCAGCTACTAACTCACCAAACTTCAGCTGAACCTCTGTCAAACTGACTGAGTTAGAGACGTTTATGTGTTCTGTGAGATCACTCAGCTGTGGCGGCCATCTTGAATCAGATCATCTCCTAAACTTAAACACTTCTAGATCTAAATCCACCGATTGATTCCTGAAAGTTTCATCAAAACGCGTCCATTGGGTCCGGAGATATTTTGCTAACAGACGCGCGCATCCCGCAGGCTGTAGCTTGGAGACACTGTCGCCCGCCTGTTGCCTTCAGACTGACCTGCTGCTCTGCTGAGGACAACATTCAGCTCAAATACAAAATAAAAATAAAAGCAGACACTTCTTCAGCTCGTGTTTCCTCCTCATCTCATCCTGGCTTCTAATGCCCGTCCGGAACATTCGAGCCGAACCGGACCGAGCCGAACTAAAAGTGCCAGCCCGGGTCCAGACCCGTCAGAAGGAATAATAAATTTACCCGCCATGCTCGGAGTGATCCGCATCCTGCAGCCCGCCGGATGGAGCAGCTCCTCTCTCTGAGCKGCACCGACAAATGATGCCGGCGCGTGCGTGTGCGCGCTACAGGACCGCTTTCCCGGGAAAACGCTCGCGGATCATGTTTGACTTTAACCCGACAGGGAGCGGGTGAGGAGGAGGAGGAGGAGGAGGAGGTGCGCTCCGTCCCCCACGATCCGAGGTGTGTGTGTGTGG